ACACTCACAGATAACTGAGCCTCCTACCTGCCTGTCAAACACCATCAACCCACAAACCTTCTCCAGTCCGGACTGAGTGGAGTCCTGCAGGTGGAGTTAGCTGCTAACAGCCACCGCTGCAACTAACAAACTCCACAAATCTATTCAGCAGCTCCACCATCCACAGTCAGACACACACGGCTGATTATTTACTGCTGAATTACAGCTCACAACTCGCACCAACCCAAACATCCTGGTGCAGACTATTTACTGGAGTTTACCAGCCTGTCGCTCATCAGGCATCTGAAGATCATTACAGGCTGTCAGTGTCCGACAGTCCACCACCACCATTTTCATTACGTCTCATTAACAAAAATCAAACACAGATTTGATCTTTGTTTTTATCAGGATCTATTTTTAGTTTGTCATCGTCAACAAAATGAACACTGAGACAGACAGAGCGTTTCCTGTTGCTGCCATCGCTCCATTGGATTGTCAGTGAACGCTCTCAGTGGTACAGACAGACTTCCTCCTCAGTGTCCTGGTGAACGTGATGTCAGTGAGATGGCTCCGCCCACTTTCATGACACCAGCCTCGACAGGCACAGGAAGCGTGGCATTTCTTCTCCTCGAAGCCTCAGAGACACTCGCCGCCGCCATCAGACAAACAACCGCCAGAAACACACCAAGCAACAGATGGACCTGACGACCTGCGGACAGTCAGCCCTCACAAAACACCACAAAGACAACTGACCAATCAGAAGAGGCCTTTATTAACAAACAGAATGAGTACCCAAAAAATGAGCCCATATTTACATCAACAGACAGACAGACAGACAGGTCACAGTCCCAGCAGAGTCTTGGCCGTCTGACTCTGAGCCTGAAGAGCTTCACTGGCGTAACGCTGCAACAGCTCCATCTTCTTCCTCCTGACCAGAGCCTCCTCCACCTGAGAGACAGACAGGACACATACGTGAGACAGGGAGGAGACAGACAGGTGGAAGACAGACAGGGAGGGTCTGGTAACCCAGTGTATTAACAAGGGTCCTCACATGTACAGAGAGACAAACGTGTGTGTCTCACCTCTTTCTGTGAGGGGACAGGTACATGTGCGATGAAGGTGACTCCACCCTCCTCTCCTTCCTGCTCCTCTCGGCTCTCCTCATCATCAGCCTACAAACACACACAAAACAAACACACCTCACCGACAGGAAGCAACACGTGTAGATCCGCCTCCCCCCACACAGGCTATGTCTGCCGTGTTGTAGTTTCCCACAATGCATATGGAAAAGTAGTTTACAACTGATGGTCACTATGTCCCATCATGCACTGCGCTGAAGGAGCAGACGGATGTAGACACGACAGATGGCAGATAACGGCGCCCTGCTGCAACTGATGAACCTTGTTTCTGAGCAGCTGAATTAATTCATTAATTTAACGAATCGTCATCGAACATGAAGAGTTCAATAACGTCACCGTGCAGACAGAGGCTGATAATGTTAGCGAATGTTTGCCAGCTGAGATGCGACGTGCTGGGATTTGTGCCTTGACAGCACGACGCGTAACATTATAAATTACCGTACATTTACGACACGACTGAGCGGGTGAACAAGAGCGGAGAGACTAGCGCGCAGCTAAGCTAACAAGACGTGTGCTGCATGACTTCCTGTTGTTGAGTGGGTCAGAGCACAGCCCTGGGGTGCTTTGCTGTTAACAGAAGGGTCCGCCAGGGCCAACATCAGTGTGTTTGTTTATTGTGAAGTCATCAAGGGTTTTTTTTGGGGAGTTTTTCCTGATCAGCTGTGAGGGTCCAAAGGACAGAGGGATGTTGTATGCTGTAAAGCCCTGTGAGGCAAATTGTGATGTGTGATATTGGGCTTTATAAATAAAATTGATCCTGATGAAGACTCGTGTAGTTGAAACGCGTAGATATCCCTGTGCTTAAATAAAGGATCTTTAATATTACCACGGAGTGCCTCGGACTTTTCAGTTTGGACTGCATTTTTGAAACTTTAAATTTACTATCAGGACAGTCCTCCTGTTTTTATTTCATAAAATTGATTGATTGATTTTTTGCAGCATCTTCAGACGCCTAAAATCTGGACAACCAAAGCCAAAAGATCAGCTGGCTACACCAGTTATCACAACGTGTTGCAGTGTCAGCCACTGCAACACGTTGTGATAACGACTCACACCAACATCACTTTCACGTAAAATACTGACGACACGTGACGTTCAGATTTTGTTGGTTTCAGATTGTGTTGATAAAAAAAGAAAAAAGATCCAATATCCAAAAGACATCATCTTAACATAGAAATAACATTAAAGAACAAACATGTCTGAAATATATCGTAATGCGAAAGTTCTCACACTTTTTTATCGACAACACAATTTTTATCCTGAGATGTCAACAGGTACGTCAGGTGTATAAAGGTACGTCAGATGTAAACAGGTACGTCAGGTGTAAACAGGTACGTCAGATGTAAAAAGGTACGTTAGATGTAAACAGGTACGTCGGGTGTATAAAGGTACGTCAGGTGTATAAAGGTACGTCAGATGTAAACAGGTTTGTGAGGTGTAAACAGGTACGTCAGGTGTATAAAGGTACGTCAGGTGTATAAAGGTACGTCAGGTGTAAACAGGTACGTCAGGTGTAAACAGGTACGTCAGATGTAAACGGGTACGTTAGATGTAAACGGGTATGTCAGGTGTAAACGGGTACGTTAGGTGTAAACAGGTACGTCAGATGTAAACGGGTATGTCAGGTGTAAACGGGTACGTTAGGTGTATCAAGGTACGTCAGGTGTAAACAGGTACGTCAGATGTAAACAGGTACGTCAGGTGTAAACAGGTATGTCAGATGTAAAAAGGTACGTCAGGTGTAAACAGGTATGTCAGATGTAAAAAGGTACGTTAGATGTAAACAGGTACGTCAGATGTAAACAGGTACGTCAGGTGAAACAGGTACGTCAGATGTAAACAGGTACGTCAGGTGTAAACAGGTATGTCAGATGTAAAAAGGTACGTTAGATGTAAACAGGTACGTCAGATGTATAAAGGTACATCAGATGTAAACAGGTACGTCAGATGTAAACAGGTACGTCAGGTGTAAACAGGTATGTCAGATGTAAAAAGGTACGTTAGATGTAAACAGGTACGTCAGGTGTA